ATATGGCATTGTAGACATCTGAGGCCAACCTGATTTTTACTATCCAACAATTTTGAAATCTTGTGTTTCTGAAAATACCTTTATCTCGGCTGATACTTGATTGATACTTTCGCAGATAATGGAATTATAGGTTGGAAATATTTTTCCCTCAGAATTTGGAAGGCAATGTTCCATTTACTTTTGTCTTCATTATAGCTGTTGGGAAGTTCAAGTTCTAGGAGTTCATTCTTCATCTCATAAATGATCTATGACTGTTTGATCCCTCTGTCATCTTTTGGGAATCTTTTTATTCTTAGGAGTATGACATTTCATGATTATCGATCTTGATGTGAGTCTGTTACATTTTATTTTGAAAGGTAAATCCTTTCAAACTGGAAACTTATGCTGTTTAGTTCTGAGAATTCTGTTTCCTAGCTTATATTCCCATTGCCAAAGAATGAAAAACCAAGTCTCACATGATTTAGGGCTGATTACAACTCATTTTCTGTTTAGTATTTTCTGGGGTCATCTTTGCTTGTTTTCTTTGAGTTTAATTCTTGCCTTTTCTTTAACACACTTTTTAAAACCTTTTATTGTGGGAAATTTCAGGCATACCCAAAAGCAGAGAGAAGAGTATAAAGGATCTCCTACACCCCTACCTAGCTTCATTTGTCATTAATACATAGCTAATTTTATTTCACCTGTACCTTCTAGTGTGACCTCCAGTATAGATATTATATAACTTTATCCACAAATACTTCCCTATGCATCTCAAGAAATAAAGCCTTTTTAAAAAGAGCATAATCACAATACTATTAAAATACCTAAAATATGAACAATTACTTAACATAACATGCAGTTAGTATTCACATTTTTTTGATTAGCCCATAAATACTATTAGCCACAAATACTATTTTATTTATAGTATTGGTTTTTCAAACAGGATCTAAACAGAATTTATGCACTGTAATTGGTTGATATCTTTAATCACTTGTTTGTTGAAGAAACAGAGTAATTTGTCTCATAGGCTTCCTCACATTCTGGATTTGGTTGATTGCATCCTGTAAAGTTGTTTAACATTTATTCTATCCCTGTATTTCTTGTAGAGCTATCATCAGACTCAAGTTCAAGTTCAGTTTTGAGGGGTAAAACTCTTTTGTAAGTAGTGAGGTATATTTCCTTTTGTATTACATCGAAAGATAGATAATGTATGATTATTCATTTTGTGTGACTTTAAGATTGATTATATGCAAATTAACCAGTACATAAACAGAACAATTGATTTTGTATATTAATCTTTTATCCTGTAATCTTGATGAGCTTACTTATTAGGTTTAGCAATTTTGTAAAATATTTCCTCAGAGCTTTCTACATACACAATCATGTGGTCTGTGAATAAAGTTTTTATGTTTCCTTTCCAATCCATGGCTCTCATTTCTCTTTCTTGTCTTATCTAAGTGGCTAGAATCCCTACTGAGTGTTGACTAGAAATAGTAGACAACTCTGCTTGTGTCCCATCTTGGGAGGAATGTATTCAGTCTTTTACCAGCATGGTGTTAGCAATATGTTTTTCTCATAGGCCCTTTATCGGTTGTGTAAGTTTCCTTCTGTTCCTAGTTTTCTGTGAATCTTTCTCATGTACAAATGCTTGATTTTGTCAAGTGCTTTTTTTCCTGCACTTAATGAGATGATCATTTTTTAAAGTGTTGTTAATATGGTGAATTGCACTGATTGAATGGAAACATTAAAACAGCCTTGCTTTCCTGGGCTAACCTACACTTGGTCATGATCTATTACCTTGCTTATAGACTGTGGTTTTGAGTTGCTAAAATTGCATTAATAATTTTTGAGTTTGTGTTTATAAGGTATATTCGTCTTTAGTTTTCTTATAATTATTTTTTTCTGGTTTGGTATTGGGGTTATACCTCCCTCTTCAGTTGTACTGGAAGAGTTTGTGTAAAATTGTTTTTACTCCACTGTCCTCTTTCTTACATTGTTTCCAGTGAGAAATCTGATCATATGATTCTTAATCTTTGTTCCTCTGTACATGTCTTTTTTCTTCTGGTTTTAAGATTTTCTCTTTTTCACTGACTTTGAATAATTTTACTATGATGCCCCTTGTAGTTTTCTTTGTGTTTCTCGTGCTTGAGGTTCTCTGAGCTTCTTGAATCCTTTGATGTAATTTTGGCAACATTTCAGGCATTATTTTTTCAAAATCTTTTCCATCCCGCCACCCCCACTTGGGGGTCCATTTTCATGTATTTTTGTCCCTCGGTGTTTCATTTTGGGTAATTTCTGAGGCTGTGCCTTCATGTACACCAATCTTTACTCTGTGATGTCTGAATTGCTGTTACTCCCATCTAGGCTATTTTTCCACTCAGACAACTGAAAAAAAAAAAAACTTTAAAGGTTTGATTTGGGTTTTTAAAAATATTTTCTAGGCTTTTCCTTAACGAGCTCATTCTTTTTTCTACCACTTGAACATATGGAATATAGTTACAGTAAATGGCTTTAATGTCTCTGGTCATCTTTGTCATTTCTGGGTCAGTTTGATTTGATGGTGGTGGTTCTTGTTTGCCCCCTAGTCATGGGCCATGATTTCCTGTTTCTTTACATACGGGGTAGTGTCTGATTCAGTGCTGGCCGTGTCAGCTTTACCTTGTATAGTGGGCATTTCTTACTCCTTTACATAGTTTTGAGCTTAGTTCTGGAACACGGTTGTTACTTGACTGTGGATTGATATTCTCTAGCAGGACTTGGCGCATTACAGCGTGCAGGCCGACTCTAGTCATGCCTGCCCGTTTCATTGGGTTCGCAGTTCCTTTTGTGCTTCGGTCACAGAACAGATATGACAGAGAAACCAGACGGCCTGCCACGTGCAATATTTATTACCTGGTCCTGTATAGAAAAGGTTTGTCGTCCCTTGCGTTCGAATGTTTTTCTTCAAGCTTTGGGCAAGACCAGAGCATCTTTGGGGTAGGGCTAATTGCTCCCCACTCCTGAAGCCGTGCCCTTCTCAGCACTGCACCTGATGCTTGTGTTTTATGAGGTTTCTCGCTTCGGCTGCTTGGTAGACAAAACCATCCCGTGTCCTGATGGGCGTCTGGAGATTATTCCACCTGCTCCATTCCGGTGGTTCTCTCCCTCGCTCTGGATGCTTCCTTCACACCCATGTGCTGGTCATTACCCAGCTCCATACTTGAGGGGAATCGTAGCAAACCGTGGAGGCCCCTCTCTCTCTGTGACCCGCTTTCTGGCTGGTATACTTCACATCTGTATTCACCGGTCCTCCGCCCTGCGAATTCTAGCCGCCCAGGCCTCCGCGATTCCCAGCTCTGCGCATCCGTTCACTGAGCTGTGTTCGGGCTCTCTGTGCTCTGTTGCCAGCTCTGCGCAGGCAGCAAACTGGGCAGCTGTACCTCCCCTGTCTCTTCCCTTCCCTCATCAACCCTCCACCCCCCATTGTGGCTGCCAGTTGTCCATTTGTTAAAACTGCAGTTTCATGTATTTTGTCTGTTTAAAAGGTTTTATCGGGGGCCGGGATAATCAGTCTGGTTTCTGTTAATGTATCATGGCCGCATGTGAACGTCTTCAACATTTAACATTTAATAACAAGAGAAAATAGTAAACTCAGTGTTCCTGTTGCGGGAGAATGTACTGATTTTACTGCATGTCATGTCCCTTCCCTCTGTGACAGTCTTACTTTGAATCTAGAAAAGTTTCCCCTCGTATCACTTTCCCTTTTCTTTCCAGTCATAGATAAAGCTGTCAAAAGCACAGTTATCATGGAAATAGAAACATTGAAATCACTGGCGCGATAAGCATGTTTCTTGCTGTAGCCGTTCAGAATATCGATCCGTCACTGCCGTGGGTGCTCTGAAGTGAAACTGTGCTTAGACGTAAAAAGTTTTAAAGCCCACTTTGATTCTATGTGAAGTTCACAGTTTTTACAGTGCAGTCCCCGGGTCCAGTTCAGTTGAAACCGTCTGGCCCCGCTCAAACGATGAGAGTCTGTTAGTGCGCTACTTGACATGCTTAGATTCAGACATTTCTGACCCACCAGAGGTCTCAGTAATGTTATTTGTTTTCCTCCTCTGACTTCATAGCTGCTAGTGCCTATATAAAATCAGTTTTTAAAACATACTGATTGTTTTCTCTCTAATTATATCTAATAAAATGAAAGAAAAAATCAAAGTAGTAACTTTGAAATCAGATATGAGAATGACTTGAAGGAGATCAAATGGGCTATCAGTATAGTTTTTTTTTTTAAGGCCCTGGGTATTGTCCTGCTGTTTTGGGGATGAGCTTTTTTCAGAACTGCTTCCATCAGGACTTCTAAGAATAGAGGAACTTTGTAGGAACACTTTTTCTTTTAGGAGGTAATTTTTCTTGCTAACTATGCCATAAAAAAATTGAAGAATGATCTTAATTTCTCAGTTTAAAATGACTGTCCTACTGAGCCAGACTACTTAACACTTCAGAGCTAGAACACATGGATTTGTCAATAAATTTAAGCGTAATAGTGGTCTCCATTACTACTAAGTTGTTTGAGTAATATATTACATTCACATTTTAAATGGGTATTGATCTTCATTCAGTGACTGAATTGGAGCATCTCAATTCTTATAAAATTGCTGATTCTTTTCTACTTTGTAGATATGCAGCCAGACATAAATTCCAGCCAATATTCCACAGATTTTTCTTACCTTTGCTTCTTTACATAGTACTCTTCAGGAAGTAATAATACTTTTTGCAGGGGGCCTGGGTGACTCAGTCAGTTGAGTGTCCGACTTCCACTCATGTCGTGATTTCATGGTTTGTGAGTTCGAGCCCCACATCCTGCCTGGCATTCTCTCTCTCCCTCTCTCCCTGCCCTTCCCCTGCTCTCTCTCTCTCTCTCAAAAATATTTAAATTTTTTTAAAAAGTAGTCCTTTTTACATACTAAAAATAGCAAAGAGAGACTGCTTCTAAAACAACAAACTTCAAATAATATCACTTTGTGTTTTGTTATGTCTGAAAGGTACCTGAAGTTTATAGAGTTGCCCTTGCCTCAGAGAAAGTTCTGTCAAAGATGCCAGCAGTTGCTACTGCCAGACGACTGGGAGAAGCACCGTGAGCATCGGGTGGTGGGCGACATCTCCGTCGGCCAGCTCAGAAGGCCCAGCCTGCTTCTCTATCCGTTGGAGAATAAGAAGACCAATGCTCAGTATCTGTTTGCGGAGCGCACCTGCCACTTCTTGGTGGACCTGCTTTCTACCCTCGGCTTCACAAGAGTCCTGTGCGTAGGAACACCCAGGTATGTCACGTGATATTTTAAAAGCTTCAACTCTCCCCACTGTTTAAACTGTAAGACAGAATTACCAAGTAGCTGTTTTACTATGTTCTGAGGCATCACCTGCAGCTTTAAATATACTAAGGAATAGAGAGCAGGGTCCTTTCCTAAGGAATTTGTAATCTATATTTTGTTTGAGAGAAATCTTTTTTTTTAAATGTTTATTTTTGGGGAGGGGGGAGAGGCAGAGAGAGGGAGACACAGAATGGGAAGCAGGCTCCGGGCTCCCAGCTGTCAGCACAGAGCCCAACGTGGGGCTCGAACTCAGGAGGTATGAGATCATGACCTGAGCCGAAGTTGGACACTTCACCAACTGAGGCACCCAAGTGCCCCTTGAGAGATATCTTTATAGATTTCTGTTGTATGATAGAAGATTCCTTCTGATTTGATTTTTAACTTGTTTATAATTTTAGACTTCTCTTTTTCAAATAAATTTTACCTTTCAAAAAATATTTGAAAACTGAAACCTTAGTTATATTTGCCAAATTCACTTCAGTGTTTCATTGAAATATTAGAAATACCAGGAAAACATTGGTGTAGTTTTTTGGTTTATTTGCTTATTGTCTATGGCATTTGTAATTCCTTATTAAATTTGCTTTCATTAATCGTTTTAGGTTGCATGAGCTGATCAGGTTGAAAGCGTCAGGTGACCAGAAGTCTAACATTAAAAGCCTTTTATTGGATATTGATTTTCGGTAGGTTTACAGAGTATTGATATTTATTCTCATTCATTGTCTCCTATTTCTTTCTTTCTTTTTTGTTTAATGTTTATTTATTTTTGAGAGAGAGAAAGAGACAGGTGAGGGTCAGAGAGAGAGGGAGACACAGAATCCTAAGTAGGCTCCAGGTTATGAGCTGTCAGCATGGAGCTTGATCTGGGGCTTGAACTCACAAACCACAAGATCGAGACCTGAAAATCAGATGCTTAACTGACTGAACCACCCAGGAGCCCAATTGTCTCCTATTTCTTGTCAATATTTTCCTTTGTTATTCCCTGTGACTTTCCTTTAATATTCAGAAGTAGTAGTTAGTTAGAAGTCACCTTTTGAGTTGTTTAAACTCCACTTGTGATTTTCCATATTTCAAATGTGAAGGCAGTGGATTTCTTCCTACCGACGTGCTTCCTAAATTTTTTCAACGAATGTGTCTCATTGTCTTGGGTTTATAATTTAGAGATAAATTCTTACCGAGTGAAATTTCTTCTCATACACTTATTTTTCAAAGATAATTGTGAACGTCCTTCAGGATTTTCTTGCAGCATGATGTTTTAAGTGAGCTAAGACAATTATTTTAACATATTTTCCTGGATGATATGCATATTGTCTTTCACTGGAAATAGCCAGAAGTCAAGAGAGAGCTAGGGAAGAGCTGAGCCTTAGAGCAGAGGATCAGTAGATGGATGCAGTCTGTGGGAGAGGGTCCAAATTAAGTGGCATCTGAGTGTTGGGACATGCAGGGAGGAGACTGACAGAGGACCTCAGGTTGTACTTCCTTGCAGGTGGTAATTGAGAAGCATGTGTCTCCATCCACAGTCTCTGATTCTGTGAACTTGGATTCTCTTCCTTACTTTCTGTAATTGAATTCCGCAAGATCAGGGTGAGGCCATAAAACACTGGGTTCTTAGTATCTTTTACTTGTTCTTGAATACTGAAGGGAGCAGGCACTGTGTTTCTTTTTATTTGATCTGATAGAGTCTATTTGGCTAATGTTTGTCAGAGAGAATCTGTGCTATTTCATGTGCTTTCTCTCCCTAGAAACAAGGCCGACAGATTTTTAACATGTAAAAAGTCACAAGAAGTACAGCTTTTATCATTTATCATTATTGTTTTTTAAGATTTCCAGGTCAACTTCAGGTGGTCTAAGAGAGGCAGCCACGCTTCTCGGAAGTAAGCCACACTTCCGTCACCTCTCATTCCGTGTTAGTGGGACGAGCACACTTACTGATTTCTGCCTAATGTGAGCATTGCTTGGCCAAGGTGTAATTCCATAGGTGATAACACAGACTTGTAAAAGAGAAACTCAATTTCTTTTTCTTAAATGGAGATATAATTCACTTAAAACTCACCAAGTTAAGGCGTATATGCCTGTGGTTTGGGGTGCACTCATTATGTGTTACAGTAATCACCACCATCTAATTCCAGAATGTTTCCGTCACTCACTTCCCCTGACAGCGATCTGCTTTCTGTCTCTGTGGATTTGTCTCTCCTGTACGTTTTCTCTAAATGGAATCATTCAGCGTATGGCCCGAGTATGTGGCTTCTTTCACGTAGCGTGATGTTTTCAAGGTTCATCCAGACCACGGCACTTTATTCCTTGCATGGCCGTGTTAGCATTCCATTGTATCGAGAGAGCAGAGTCTTGTTTTAACCACCACATTCCTTTCCTACGGAATGGTGGTTAAATTATTGTCAACATACTATTTTGAAGGTAGAAGTGTAACTTCTGGGTTCTTACAGTAACAGTATTCACAGTAACTGGTGCTTGCTCCGAGTGCCTGTCCCGTGTCAAACCCTGCTCTGACTCATTGAGCCCTCACGACCGCCTGCCCTGTGAGGTCGGCGCTGTTCTCATCCTCACTTGCCAGGTGAGAAAGCCGAGGTACAAAGAGGTGAAACAACTTGACCTTGTGGTTCTAAGTGGCGTAGTCAAGATTCAAACCCAGTCAGTCTGGCTCCAGAAGTTAAGTTACCCTCTGGAAATCCCTTTGCTTTCGAACGTGTATATAAGCCTTTGTTCTGTAGCCCGTGTCTCTGGTCTTCCTCTATCTCCCTTTCTCCACGTGTCCCCGTGCCTGGGCCACGAAGGCTCACCTGTGGGGTGGCAGCGGGTGGCAGGTCCCTCTTGTATTTACAATAAGGCACTCATTAGTCAGGCACCTAAGCCTGGAGCCCTGCACATCTGTCTGTGTCAAAGAGAACGTGTTGGCTCACCTTTCCGGGGCCCATGATACAGCAGGCCTCGGTCCAGGTGAAGTCCTGGGCGCTGCCCCGTGTTGTTGGGGCTCCGTCTTTCTGCACCTCTCGTTCTGTCTTCCTCCGGACGCTTTACGTCACACTGCCAGGGACTTGGGCAGCAGCAGCTCTGAGCCTGTGTCGTCTCAGCCTAACCGTCCAGCGGACGGAGGCGCTCTTTCCTGAGAGCCCCAGCCGGGGAGGGCTGGCGTGGCTGGGGCCGGGTGCCCGTTCGAACCGTCTCCGTGGCGTGGCAGCCCTGACCAGCCGCAGGAAGTGGGTTCGCCAGGGGAAAGCCTCTCTTACCGTAGGTGCACGAGAGGCACAGATCACATGTCCACAAGCCGAATTGTTTCACATAACCTGCAGCCGCCGTGCTCCCGCCTCTGGGACTTTCACCTCCGTGAAAATGCTACGGTGTTGTCTTTCTAGTCGTGTGGTTCTTTGTGTTCTGGTTTCATTCAAGTCAGGCTTATTCCAAGCTAGTTGTGGTCGACTGCTTTATATACAAACTAGAAAAATATCAGTGATTCATTGTGATTTGCTCAAATTCCAAGGATCTCTGGTTTACTTTTTTAAAAATATTTTTATTTTTATTTTTTATTATTTTGAGAGAGAGCGAGGGCAGGGGAAGAGCAGAGGAAGGGAGAGAGAATCTTAAGCAGGCTCCACTCCCAGCAAGGCGTCCAACGTGGGGCTCCATCTCACGACGGGGATCATGACTGAAAATCAAGAGTCAGACTCTTAACCTACTGAGCCACACAAGGCGCCTCTATTTTAGCTTTTTAAAGAGACAAGATCTTTAATTCTGTCACCCAAAACATTCTGGATTTTGGCTTTTTTAGACCTTATTTATGCATATAAACATTTTAAAAAGTAAGAATCATAATCTTTTTTCCCCCACTATCAGTCGTGTTTTCTTTTTTTAAACTGAGACATATTTCATGTAGAAAAAGCAGGGTTTTCGTACTATTCTCAAGGTTGTGCAACTGTCCCACCACCTAGAAACAGTAGTTTAGTTGTCATGAAGTGCTGTGGCAACATCGTCCTGAGACTCGAGTTTTCCTTCAGCCAGTGTGACTGTGCATTTCAATAAGATAAAGGGTAACGGGCTAAGTGGAAGTTAGCTTGTGAAATTTTCCTAAAAATTAAACTCTGACTTTATCCATCCATGCCAGTTAAACACTGTAACTAAAATTTCCAAATAAGTGCAAAAGGAGATGAAGGAGTTAGTTACCTTTTTTTGCTTGAACAGTCCAGAGGAAAGTGGTTACCGCAAATACAGCAGGCAAACTGTTTAAGACTGGCCGATTTAGAACACAGTGTTGCACTCAATTTCAGCCTTAAATTGTGCTAAAGGCTCATCATTAGTAACATTTCCATACTTTTTTTTTTTCAGTTTATTTATTTTGAGAGAGAGTGTGCATGCAAGGAGGGGAGGGGTAGGGAGAGGGAGAGAGAGAATCCCCAGCAGGCTCCACTCTGTCAGCACGGAGCCTGATGTGGGGCTCAAACTCACAAACCCTGAGATCATGACCTGAGCCGAAATCAAGAGTTGGACACCCAACCGACTGAGCCACCCAGGCGCCGCATTTGCATCACTTTTGATGGAGCTGTCTCCATTAAAGTGGCCCCAATAAGCGATCTCTCCTCTTCTCTCCCTCCCTCAGTCCTTGGCCACCACTAATCTGTTTTCTGTCTCTATAGATTTGCCTGTTTTGGGTATTTCATAAAAATGGGATTGTATAACATATGGTCTTTAGTATCTAGTGCCTTTCATTTAGCATAGCGTTTTTAAGGTTCATCCATGTTATAGCGTATATCAGGATACCAAAGTTTGTTTATCCATTCATCATTGATGGATATGTGTGTTGCTTACACTCTTTGACTATTTGGAATATTGCTGCTATGAACATTTGTGTACAGTTTTTATGTAAACATAGGTTTTATTATCTCTTGGGTATTATGTTAATTTGCTAGGGCTGCAGTAATGAAATAACCGTAGATTCAGTGGCTGAAACATCAGTAGTTTATTGTCTCAGTTCTGGAGGCTAGAAGTTCAAGATCAAGGTGTCCGTAGATTTGGTTTCTTCTGAGGCCTCTCTCCTTTGGTTGTAGTCTGCCATCTTCTCACTGTGTTCTCACATGGTCTTTCCTCTGTACATGTATAGCCCTAGTTTCTCTCTCTCTCTCTTTTTCCCCCCAATTTTTATTTAAAAAATTTTTGTAACATTTATTTATTTTTGAGAGACAGAGACAGATCATGAGCAGAGGAGGGGCAGAGAGAGAGAGGGACGCACAGAATCAGAAGCAGGCTCCAGGCTCTGAGCTGTCAGCACAGAGCCTGACGTGGGGCTTGAACCCACAAACTATGAGATCATGACCTGAGCCAAAGTCAGACGCTTATCTGACTGAGCCACCCAGGAGCCCCTCCCCCTAATTTTTATTTAAATTCTAGTAAGTTAACATGTAGTATGATATTGGCTTCAGGAATTAAAATTTAGCATTCATCACTTACATACAACACTTAGTGCTCATCACAAGTGCCCTCCTCAATGCCCATCACCCATTTAACCCATTCCCCCCACCCTCTGATAAACCTCAGTTTGTTCTCATTAGTTAAGAGTCTCTTTATGGTTTGCTTTCCCCTCTCTCCTTTTTTTCCTTACCATATGTTCATCTGTTTTGTTTCTTAAATTCCACATATGAGTGAAATCATATGGTATTTCTCTTTCTCTGACTGA